ATTTTTAAGTTGTCATTCTTATGTAAATATCTTTAGTGAACTATCGACAGAAATACTAATACGTATTAGAAGTATTTCTATCAAGTTTCGTAATTCAATCATTTTCAATTTTTTTCAACCAATAATATATTAAGCAATTTCAAACGAAGAAATTCATGTTTCTAAATGTAATTCGTTTCAAAATATTCGAATTTGAGGAACATTTGTAATTTCTCGTTTTTCATTTGAAAATATGTATAATAAAGTTATTAGAAAAATTTTATTACACGTCACTGACATTATAAGAATAGAATTACATAATTGCACTTTCGTAAAATATATCTCGTGAATGGATCAAAAACTGTATCAGAACTTGACAGAATACTTCAACATTATTATTGTGATTGATTAACGTCATTAATATTCGATGATTTCTGATCATTAGCTGTTAACGTATATCAAACTTGATTGATTTCTGAATTATGCCTATCTTCTATAATGCTTTAATGTTAGCTTTAGTCTACTTATATTTTCTATTATATAAGGAATTGATCTGCATATTTTAATTGTTAAAATAAATATGCGAAACTATTCTAAATAAGATTAAACTTTGAAAAGAAATAGTTCAATTGTATACTTGATAGAAGAGAAACGTCAAAAATTTCTTCTGCATGAATTATTTCAAAATTTCTTTTTCATGATAAATGAAAATGATTTATGAAATATTATTTCATTTTTACTTTCATCGATTAAAGAAATTAAAAAGTCTAGTATTGATTCGATGATGACCAACTATTGTTCAAGTAGTTGCACTTGAAATTTATTGATTTATTGTCAATACTGAATGATAATTTTGTTTTTTTGTAAATAATGTTGAACATTTTCTCGTCTAAATAAAGGCTTTTCATTGAACATGAGCAATAAAAATGATATGTTCAATGATTATCCTCATATTCATCTTATTCTCTTTTTCTTAATCTATCATTTTCATCAACATTGCCAAGTGATAACATGAGCTCATTTGTCCTTTTACTCGCTCTTTATACAAATGTGTGCATACGCGCATATGCACATTGAACTCAGCTTTTACTTGATATATTCTTGTTGCGGTATTAAATGCGAAGGTGAATAATCAAATGCATAGTACGATTGCCGACAAAGGCCAAATGAAATTCTTTCATATCATGAAATAAAAGAAGCCGTATCATAAGCATTCTTTTTTTTGTGTTCGAAAAGGTGTCGAACTCAATTCGCAAGGCAATTATTATCATTCTACAATCTATCAAAAGGATAATGGTCAGAATGAGAGAAAAAGAAAAAGAAAGAAGTACCAACAAATAATGTCCATAGGGCAAAAGGATAGAAAAAAGAAGAAGAAGAACTCTAATCACTTCCAATACAAGAGGAAAAAATAAGAGAAGTCGTGAGTAAATAGCATAGTAAAGAGAAAGTGTACATTATGTTCAATGGATGAGGTGCACTCGTTTTTATATGTATGTAGATCTAATTTTGAATACATATACTAACGCACTCTTGTGTGCATAAAGATAGACATACACGAATAATAAAAAAAAATCCAAAGACTATCACTTTCTGATTGAATTGTTTAATAAGAAAAACAATGCAAGTTATTATTTTACCAAGATCAATACTTCATACAAATCAATTTCATCCGACTTCAGTGAGTTTATTTATTCGCTGTTTACTGATCAAAATCTTGACGATGTGTTATAACCAGATGTATGAGCAGCATATAAATGTAGTTATATAACTTGAGCCCCCCTTGGCCTTCTCGTTTTTTTTTTCTTCTCGCTTGTCTTGCATTTATTCTCTCATATTGATAAATTCATTTGATCACCATTCATGTGGCCCATCATGCAGAACAAAATTTCATCGAGAGTAAGTTGATATCAACTAAATATAAACTAGAATCTATTAAAATTAAAATAACGTCAGTTTCCTTCTTCTAGATCAATTTGTTTTATTTTTACCTTTTTCTATTAATTTTAATTATTAATTGAATAGACATATTCTTCCTTTTTTTTTTTGTTTTAACCTAGAAACTACATGTAGTTAAATAGATATAAAACAAAGAAAAGAAGAGGCTGTATTACTTATTCTTCTCGTTATTTTTTCTCATTTTACACGAGTGTCAGTATGCAGATGAGAACACCCTTAGTATCGAACAAAGAAAAGAAAAAAACATTTGGTTGTCGTCGTCATCATCGAGTTTTTTTTATTATAATGCGGTTTTAATTTTTTACCTCTATTTCTAACATACTCATAGGTATATAGTAGGGAAAAAAAAAGAAAGATAGTTAAGTATGGCAGAGGAAAATGAGGATGAACAGTTTGATCCTGTAAGTGAATCTTTCTTTTTATTAGAAATCATTTGTAATATATTATTTGTTTCTAGCGCAGTTTATTAAATGATAGAGATGATCAAAAAGTTCATTTATTTATCAAAGGTAAAAAAGAAAAGAATTGAATAGTTTCATATTACTATTATTATTATTATTCTTAACTTTTTTTTTTTCTAGCTGGTCGAGATGGTCGATCAAAAGGTGCATGTCCATTTTGTCATGATGTATTTCTTAAATTATTAATAAAATGTGAAATTGAAAATGATTTTAATTTTGATGTCATAACAATAAATTGTAAAAATCCACCAAAAGAATTTAAAGAAATATCAAAAAAATTACCAACACTTATACATGGTGATATTGTTTTAAATAATATTGATGATATTGAAGATTATCTTGATTCATCATTTACAAATTATAAATTATCAAGTCAAGATCCTGAAGCTTTTAAAGTTCAATCAAATGTTTTTACACGTTTTACTTATTTAATTAAAGATGTAACAAATAATCCACAATTATTATTAGATGAATTAGAAAAAATTAATACATTTCTTCGACGACGAGAAACAAAATATATGTGTGGAAATGAAATAACAGGTCTTGATTGTTCATTATGGCCAAAATTACAACATATTCGTGTTGCTGCTGATTATCTTCTTCATTTATCAATTCCAATTGAATTTTCATCATTATGGCGTTATCTTGGTTCAGCTTATGAACATGACGCTTTTGTTAAATCTTGTCCATCAGATCAAGAAATTGTTCTACATTGGATACGTCATGAAACATCACCAAAAGAATATTTACAATTAACAAAAGAAGAACCAAAATATTCTCTTGATATACCTCTAACAGTTTATAATCATTTTCATTAATATACTTTCTTTTCTTTTCTTTTCTTTTTTTTTTTTGTTTTTCAAATGTTATTGTATTTGTATTATGCGTGATTTTTCGTTTATGATTTTATTTTCTACTCATTCGAGAAGAAATAAGAATAGAGATGTGCCATGTTGGTCGTGCTACTATAATTTTGTCTGTATGCAGTGCAATTGTCTATTGTTTATTTCTTTTTTTTTTCGCTGTATTTCAAATAATAAAAAATTTAATTTTAGTCTTATTGAAATGATTAAATCTGATCGAAACTTAAAATTTTATTTAAAATGACTTTGAATCAATACATTTGTTTTTCAATAAAAAAAAAATCGAAAATGAATCAATTACAAATGAATAGGAGTATTTCTAATGACTTTCATCTGAAAATTATCAAGCCATTAAAGAAATGGATATCGAACCTCATGATTTCTTCAGGAGAATTCTAGTTTTTGAACATTTTTCTTAGTATTAGCAGATGTTTTCTAAAATGTTTTCCTGATTTTTTTTTTCATCTCAACTCTGTCAAGACAATATTTGAAATTGATTAATTGCTTTTAAGTTCGGACTCAATGCATCAGGTAGAATCCAATGAGATATAAAAATACCTCAAAAGAATAATTTCTGTAGGCTTTTTGTCCAAAGTTCTAGGCATTTTATGAGAGCTTCAATCTCTAGAATTATAAATACGAATATCTCAAAACAATATTTTCTTCCTTAAGTATTAAAGCCTGAAAAAAAAACAAGAAAATGCTAATATCTTTCATGTAACATAAGTGATGTTTCGGACTCCAAATCTCGAACAGGAAATATTTAGGACATTATATTAACAAACAGATATGTCTATTGACAAAATCTCAGATTGAAATATCATCATTTGAACTGATGGTATGTACCATGTGAGACACTAAAATTCCAGTAAAATAACTATAATTCTGGTAAAAAAAACGACTAATGAATTGAAAACGTTTCCTTGTTAACAACATGTTGAACCAACAAGAAAAACAATCTAATATCATCACATGATCTTAGGTTTCACAAAGAATAGAAGAAACACCCGTTAATCAGATGCAACCAGTGGTGAGCTCATATTCTAAATGGTAAAAGTGCACTCATGAAGAATGAACAGATCAGTGCTGATTTAAAAATTAATGCAAAGACTTATATCAATTATGCAGACTTCAATGAATATCTCTTACATAAAGCAGATTTATTGAAACAAATCTGGTCATTAAAAATAACTTTTATGCTGCAAAAGTGCTACGCACATGATAGTATATCACGTATTGTTATTTTGTTTGTATATTCTCATCAACGTATATGAAAAAATTAATAACAGAAAATATGTGTGATCATATTTCTTTTTTCAATATCATTTGTCGGCAAATTTTACTATTATTACTTTAGTAGAAAAATGGAACAAGCGCTACTGCGAACGATAATACCACGAAATGTTTTCTGACCTTTTTTTCGTAGAGATCTCCTAATTTCAAAAACATCGATTTGATAATGCGACTCTCATGTCAATGATTGCGGACATATTGAATATTAATTTCACTGGCGCAAGTTCGCTTTTTTTTCTTTATATATAATCATTCAGATTGAACATCCATCATATAGTATTGTCATGAGAAATGTTTTTTTTATTTTATCGTCAGTTGTTATCATATCTAATTAGTCGAATAAGAAAAACATGATTTGATTAATTATTTCCTCAGACTGACAATCTATTGTGTTTATGTCGTGTATATATATATACGTCGAATAGTTGTGATCATCGACAAAAGAATGACAACATCAATAGATCCAAGTGTAGATGAATTATTATTATTACAAGAAAATCAATATCCTATGCCAAATTTTGTTTTTGCAAATCTTAAACCGATTGGAGTAAGTAAAAACATAATCGAACATAATAAAAAAAGAAATAAACAACATATTTTCTGTTTCAATTGATAATTTAGGCAGAACGTAAGATTGGACAACCCTCACATGCATCAACTCAATCTATATCTCAAACAAAATCATCACTATTATCATTACAACAAATGAATATGGATTTTATTTCAAGAGATATAGATGAAAATAACAATGCTTTTGAGGTGTGTTTCTGAAATAGAAAGAAAAAAAAAAGAATTAAAATTTAGTGATCTATCTAGATCCCATCATTTAATTCATCTATTAAACCATCAACAATGTCTATATTTGATAATTTTCATTTATCTTCAATTGATGAATCAATAATTCATGAAACAAATAATAATTTGGAAATCTTAACTTATCATCCATTACATAATCATTCATTAAGTTCAACATCATCAACAAATGATAATTCATCAATACATTTACTCAACAATTATAATTATCAACGGTCAATATCATCATCATCATCATCATCGATTGTCCAACAAAAACTTAATCAATCAATTGCAAGTCAAATACAAACAGGTTCAAAGCAAAATTTTGAAAACATTAATTTTCTTTTTTTTTCATTTTTTTAGAAAAAACAATACCATCATTTCGTGTTCCACAAACTTATCCATCTAATCAATTCTTTATTCCAAATTCATGTCTACCATATTCTAGGAATTCATTTATTAATGTATATCAAAAACCACGACCTGTATTCAGTACTCCATTTCAATGTACACGAGAACGTTTTCAAGTTAATTCAATAGGTCGTCCGATATTACGTGCTAATAATTATATACGTTTATCACAAGCAACTGGTTTTAAAGTTCGACGATAAGAATGATCGATATTATTTTTTTTTTATGTGATATATATATGTGTCAACCAAGGCTTTTTCTTTCATTTTTTTGGTTATTCAAGTGATTTCATCCAGTAAATCTTCTATGATTATGTATATTTACTCAATTAATTCTCTTATTATTTAATCGATTATATGTTTTTCTTTTATTTTATTGTCGAAATATTCTTTAATGTAATGTATTATAGAATGATTCACTGAAAAAAGAGCACGATTGTGGTCAAAAGTTTTTTGATGAGAAAACATATACATATATATATATATATAAATAAAGTAAATTAGACAAAATAGAAAGCATTAGTTTATAAAAGTAATGGTGGAATAGAATCACATGCATGAGTATCGTTTTCTCGTGCTCTTATGAAACTGCATAAAAGCCCTCGACGACAATTATGATCACATTGGTTTCCATTAGCATATGATTTTGTATAATATTGATAAACTAAACTCATTAATGAACCATCTAAATCATTTTGTAATCTTTGTACAAGATTATGCCAATCATTAGGAAATAAATATTCCATTTGATATGCATCACGAGCATCATATTCATCAATAAAAATTGTTTTATTATATATATTCGATGCAGTTAAATTCATAATTACTGTACGATGATCAAGTACCCAATAAGAACTTCCAGGATATTCACCATCAATTGAATAGATTCGATAACCGGGATTTAAATACGAACTTGTTGTCAACGATGGTCCCATATAAGCCTGAAACCATATTAAAAACTATTATAAGTTATTTGATACAAAAGAAGAAAAAAAATCAAACCATCGATACAGGACGTTTCTGATCTTCTTCATCGTAAAACATTAAAAATTCATCATAATGTGTATGTCCATAAAATTGACCAGCTATTGTATTTTCATATCTAAATCGACAGAGATTTGTATAGATAATATGAGATCATTTTTCATGTCAATAGAGATTTCACAAAGCCATCAGTCAACCGACTCTTTTGAGAATTGATGAGCCGAAAACAAAAGGCGAAAATTTCTCAAGATTAGAGATGACCCTACGTACAAACTTCTGAATATCTAACCTATTAACAATCTTATAAAAATTCCATCCAAATGATGCTAAACAAGATCGTGGTGGATGATGTCCAATAATATGTACTTTTTCTTCATGATCTTCAGCATATTGTAACCATTGAATTAACTAAATAGTGATTTTTCATGACTATATTTTCATGGTTATAAAACTTACCCATTGTAGTTGACCAAGTGGATCAGTCGTATTAATAAGCACCCAAAAATTTTCTCTCGAACAATAATTCATATTGAGTGAGATCAATCTTAAACCAGGTCTCACTAATGTTGTATAAAAAGCTCCACGTTCGATACTATCACGTGTAT